TGAACACAAACCTGAGCTGGAATGAGTGGTAGTGTACACAGATATTTTTCATCATTACCACTCGTTATATGTAGGTACGGTTGATTCGTCAACCAATCATCTTTAACGTCAAGAAGGTATGCTGGTGTTGCCGATTTGTCTTTCCAATCTATCCTAAATATTTCATTTAATAATTAAAATCAAAAATATTCAATAACAGTAATTCAATTTATCTACCAAATTAACCAACACTAATATTTTTATCATGTTCATAAAATTATCTTATATCATACATTAACTAAGATGCAATATTTCATAGATATATTTCGATGTCATACATTTCATGGATGCATTTTGCGTTGCATATTTCATGGATGTATTTCCGTATAACAATTTCAACTTCCAATTTCTGGATTCAAATCTATCTATTTACTGAATTAGATTAACTGTATCACGTGGTCAAAAAAATCCTTCATATCGAATTTATACCAATAATGATTCAAAAAAAAACACCATCAATCAAATGGCGCTAATTTGATTACTTAGAAAACAATCTTTTGAAAGCTTCGAACCTAAACAAGACTGATTCATCGATTGCTTTATAAGCTAAACATAGTTGGATACCCTGTTGAAGTAGCAATAGCAGATGTGTAATAACTTTCACAGATGACATTCTGAAAAGAAAGATGCATTATTTGAAAACAAGAGACGGAATGAAATATCCAAAAAGCTACAGGTTAAGCAAATACAGAATGAATTAACTAAAAATCGGTAACTTGAGAATTCTCGATTCACTACATGCATTCGGAAAAATTTTTTGTAAAAGCAGAAAATACAAAAATGACATTAAAAAATCAACGAAAGAAAAGGGACAAAATGAATCGTTTGGTGTGAAATTCTATGATTACATAACAAAATAACGAAGGATCTTACAAATGCAGTGGTAAAACCATGCATACCGGATACGTTATACTATCTCCCAGCTGTTACTACCTACTATTTCTTCGGATTTAAAATTTTCTAATTACCTGAAAACATCGTGTAGTTATTATAAGTCACATCAACAAAAAGAAAAATTACATAATTATAATCCGAATAATTAATGTATAATTCGAATAATAGGCATATATAACTTGAATTCCTTACAATATGTAGTTCGGTTGACTAACAAATAACATAAAATTAATGTGCACAATTAACAGAATGTAAAGCATATTCAATTAATTCCCAATATAAAATTTTCATAATTAACGTAGCGAAGAATGTACTATATCAATGTAACGTGAAACTTAAGTAAATGATGTGTAGTTTTTGACATTAAGCAGTACATCGTTGAAGCAATATTAAAATTGGGGTAATTAGCATAACAAAATGATTTATAAACATGATATAGTTTTTTAATCCACATAATTAACACATAACACAAAAATAGAAGTCCAAACAAAAAAAAAAACACTTCAACGGCTTAAACGTCATTTCGGCTTAAAACCAAATTTCCATTAAATTAAATTTCATAAATAATTCCTTTCATTCCTGTAATTTTCGATGAAGAACTATTTAGCTTCTGTCTCGTTCTCTAATACATTCTATTTTAGCAGCTTTATTACTACTTTATCATCATTCCTCATTCTATTTTATTTGCTCTCGCTCTATTCTGCAATCATTCCAATGCCTCTTTCTTCAATATTATTACTTTCTATTATCTCTTTTATAATAATTGTCTCTAAATATTTGAAATAAATTTTCCAACTCTGCTATATGAAACACGCATTAACAAATATATAAATGAAGAAAATCATTCTTTTGCGTCGCGTACATCTTCATTTTCTACAGTATTTCCTTTTTCTCCTCCTATCCTTTACATTATTTTTACCTGAATACCGGAAATCTCACTCTCAATCTCAAATTACAACCAATGAAATATTATCCGTACGGAAACTTGACTTAATCATGTTTAGCACAGCACATTACGTGAAAAAACCACGTGATGATTCCACAAAACGTGCGTCACACGTTGGGATGAAGTTATTGCATATCACATAAAACCAGAAAAAAAAGACGGAGAGTGATAGATCGCGCTGGGAAACGTTTCTGGTTTTGTTGACGTTTGTTTATTTCAGTTTAGAAATATACGAAATAGCAAACTTAGCTATTCGGGATGATTACAGCAAAATTCAGGAGGAGTGAATTAATAATCGTGCAAAATTAAATTGAGTAAATTCGGGTGAACAAAATTGTTTGAAATGAAGTTACATTATGCTAGGAAGAAGGAAGGAATTAGGCATTTGTTTGGAATGAATGTAGGGAAGAAAAAGTGATGGACACCTGGGAACAGTTGAGACAGGTAGAATTGTCAAGTATGCAGAATGAATTTTTGAGTTATAGAAAAAGTTGAAATTATTGCAATTCTAATATAATTTGTCATCGTCTGAAAACAAAAAAAATCAAAAAAGGAGAAAACTGGAAATCAGTGGTATGACAGTTGGTTACATCAATGTAGCTTAGTATTTAAAAAAAAAAAAAAACTGATAGAGTAACTGGTATTTGAACTAATTTTCAATACATTAAATTTTTGTTCAAATTTTCTTTGAAACTTATGCGATATGTTTGTCCATTATTTCTGTCATTCATTTTTGCTATATTTATATGTCATATTTACTTCATCATCAATATGAATACGAAAAAAAGTTAAATTTTATTTCAGATTTCTATAAAAATTATAGGGCTTATCAGGGTATTATTTCTTTTTGATTATCTGTCATAACTTATTTTTTGATAATAACGAAAGCAATGCCAAGACGTCGGATACGTAATGATGATGACGATGATTTGGATAGCGAAGTAAGCTGTTCTTTAGTTAGTTGCTAACGCTAACAGTTTCATATTCAGAGGTTTTTTTCTTGTTTATGTAGATTATCATTAGTTGAGTTCACAGACAGCTTCTTATATTTCGAATGATTACAACTTAGTTCAGTGTATATCTCTTTTCTCTTGTGAAGGTCGACAGAACGTTTGATGCTTTGGAAAAAGACAGTCGACGTGGTTCACGCCGTATATCGGCAGTACTGCGAACACAGAAGGATGAGGATGAGGAACGACAAAAGATTTTAATGGATATGAATGCCAGATCTCTTGAGAAAGGTATGACCCATTATATAGTTCATTGTCAAGCTTTGTTTTAATATTCAAGGAATGTTTGATAGAAAAAATTCGAAATCTTTAAAATTGCAGATTTTTGATGTTTGAAACTAGATTTTATTATTTTGAAGCATTGGTTCAAATTTCGCTCCTCTTCTTTCAAAATTTATTTAACTTACGGTTTTAATTAAGTTGTTGAGATTCTAGAAAATCCAGCAAAAAATGAACGTTTGCTAGAAGCGATGAAAATTGCTGTTACAAAAGCTAAACAATTGGCAGCGCGTGCTTTCCAAGAAGATCTTATCGATAGATTACCAAGTGTTGTTGAAAAAGAGCCCTTATATGTAAGTTTAAATTTTCAAGCATTTTTGGTTTTCTCATTTGAAAAATTCTGTATACAATCATCGAAGTTGAAATTTTTTAAAATTTTCAGCAAGCTGGATCGTTGCTTGATGCAAGCGCCCGAATTTATTCCTTTCGTGTTGATGCTACACATTCAGAGGCATACGATGTTCGGTCAAAACTAGGAGATAGTAAGTTAATTCTAATTAAACTTTTTTTCTGTATGGAGAAATTTCTTCCTAAAATAAGATTTTTCAGAATCTCAGTCTGATAATAAAAGTGGTAAGAAAGATACTTTACCTAATGGAGACAGTAATGCTGATGAAGGGATGAATTCGGATAATGAAGGAAGTACCGACAAAAAAGTATTTTGACTTTCTTTCTTTTATATATATATAGATCTTAACAACATTAATAGTAGAAATCTTTTTGTTAGTTACTTTATTCCTGGTTTATGAAATAATTTTCCATTCAGGAAGGTAAGGACAAGGTAAAAAAGAAAGGACAATTGAATGAAGGAAACAGTGATTCTGGTAGTGATTTGGACGATGGTCCAACTAAAAAGGATATCTATGATGCAGATGATCTCCCGATCTACATTGATGATTCATCTTCTGTAACAGATGATGAACAAACAGTATTAGAAGCTGGTGAGATTGTGAAGAAATTCATGAACAGATACGATAAATCTCACGAAAATTGTATAAAAAGAAGGGCGAAGGTAATGATTTTGCGGAGAAAAAATCTAATCTTTCTCATGTAAATGTTTTCATTGTTTGCCTTTTTACGATGTAAGTTGTATAATAGGAAAATTAGTTCTATTATGTTAACTTACACTAAGTCCAATTGGTGACTGCATTAAATTAGTATTAAAATGATTACCATGAATTTTTTTTCTGAGCTCCCCATCCCAAATATAATAGTAACGCTAATGATCAAATCAAGACCATGTAGAAAATTACTGCATTGCAGTTTTTCTTGAATATTTGAAGATAAATCTTTGATCGACTCTTCATTTAAATTTTTACTATCTAACGTACATGATTATATATCTATGTGCAGCATGAAAATTTTTACTAGGAAATGGAAATTTTTTTTCCCTATGATGATAGGCGTTTAATTATGAGGACACATTATAACCAGACCGTAGAATTCTTAGTTATTAAATTTAATCAAAATCTATTAAATGCTAAAAATAACGGAATTTGTTAAAAATGATTTTGATTATTAGTGTATTTTCAGGTACCGATGATTGTATACGATTCATCTGAATTAAATGACACTGAAACGGGTGCCGAATTTTGTAGTCACTTATACAGTAAAGCAACGCATAACTTTGATGAGGGATCATCAAGTGGTCTTTTAATGCAAAACGCTGTTACAAGCAAATGTGGACGTCGTTACATGGTGCATAATAATTGTCGATGTATTCGTGATCCATGGAATGAGAGAATTGAGGGCGAAGATTTACATGAAATTTGGAGTTCGTTTTTTCTCAAATATTTAAATCTTTCATCGACTTTTAATTCAAATTTCTATTGTCTATTATACTATTGTACAAATAACTGTTTTTTTTTTTGAAATTCTGAGTATTTGAAAATGCTATTTATGCATTTTCCTTACCAACTTCTGCACTTTTCATGCTTAATTAAATCGACCATTGCTGTTAATAGTAAAACAGAATCTTCCAATTAATGGAAAGTACGCTACATTCTGAAATAGAAATAAAAGGTTGATGCTTTAGAAGGTATCGAAGACGCCGAGAAACTTGCACCATCAAATGTTGCTAGCGTCATGAGTAGTTTACAGGACGATGAGCATGTGTCGACATTATCACGAGTATGTTTTCAACGATGTTGGTTTTTTGAAGGTTTTTTCAATTAATTTTAACAGAAATACCATATCCCAAAATTCGGAATTTTGAGATCTTAAAGTTTTTATGAGATTTGGTTATGATTTTTTGCTTGTTTTGTACTTCAAAGACCCTATGACTTTGGAACAGCTGAAAGTTCTACAGAATACAAGTATCAGTCAAGAAACAACAACATTTATGGATACAACGGCAAGTACCAGTAGCATGCATTCAATCCAGAAAAATGTAGAAGCTGTGTTGGAAGAAGCACTTCTCGAAAATGGTAGTAAAGAATTGTTTCGTTGGAGAAGACAACTACAAAAGAAGCTTGGCATGAATTGCGGACAGTTCATCGCTTTATTGGTTTTTTTTTTCATAAATTTTGATTTATTTTTTCTCAAAACCATTTACATTCTTATGCTTTGTCATGGTTTTTTCGGTATAATTGTCCTATGAGAATGTATTTCGGCAGTCAAAAAAATTGAGCTTGATTAAGTTCGATTTTTTGAACTGAATTTGATCAGTTCAATCATTTTAGCTTCTTTTAGGCACACTCCTTGCGGGATGTAGATCCATTCATTCGACGAAGTTTCATCCGACAAGCTGCTATTCCAGTGAAAAAATCCTATATTAACAGAATTGCGGATACAAAAAGTGGTTTGACATACGCGCCAATAGCTGATGAACTGGAGCCATTCGAAGAATCTATGTGTTGGAAAGTATGCAGGATGAGGTTATATATTAATTACTTTACCTATTTTATACCATAAACATTATAAACAGCTTAGTTACGTATACTTGATTTTAAAATAACCGAATTTAATTTTTTTCACGAAAATCTCTACATTAAGCTGATGATCATGTATAAGATAGGGTTAAAGTGCGGTAAGCGTTCCGGAACTTCAAATAGCCAGGTGATAATCTCTTGATTTTGCTGTAATTGGAGAGTGTCTGTTGAGTTTTTGAGCAAATATGAAAATATAATAACCACTAAATATATTAAATAAGACCTTTTGATAGCTGATAACAAAGCACCTGTGGCAATGATCATTCTTTTTTACTTATTTTGCTTGTTTGTAATAATTTGACGAACATTTTGTGAAAGTTAACCCGCTTTTAAAGATGGGACGAAATGAGTAATGAAGCCCGAGCGAAGACTTTGAAGTCATTATCTGGAGAGCATCCGACATTCAACTACTTTTTCGCACGATCAGCGGAACATTTGTCTGCTGAGGTTTATTTTTTCTTTACATTTACCTGTCTTATCAAAATTTTTAACAAATTTGCGAAGCATTTTATCTTTTTTTGCTGTTATGAAAATTTGGTTTCAGGATGATAATGTGCTTGGGAGTTTACCTGTTTTCCGTAGTATAATTGAAATTGAAGTCCCACGTGACACTATTAAAATGACTGGAGATGATCAGAAAGCGTTGGCAGGAGTACTCGATACTTTTCGAATTGGTCGAGGTGAAAGTTTGTTTAAGAAAAAAGGCGATGATTTTGGACGAAAAATTGCACAAATTCCAATTGCAACACCGTATGTTTTAAAGAGTTTTTTTTACTAATAGGCATTTATGTATTATCAAACCGTGATAATAATACTGCTGTTATCTTTTCTGTTTCTTATTTTACTGGCATATTCGTTTAAATTATATGCATGTGAAGAAAATTTTTTTTTATATTATCAATATCATACTATATTATGAAGAATTTATATTATCAATATCATATATTCGCTTGTACAGAATACGAAGGCCAGAAGTACAAACTGCTTGGGAACGCGAAAGTACTATTTCTAAAGAGCAGTCAAGATCAATAGTACCATCAGAATCAATTAACGATCGTTTGACGATTTCAAGTCGTATGAATGATGTTGATTCTGAAACAGATGCAGGTGGCTTCAACGCAACTTTCGATAATGATACTGATATGGATACAGAAGTGACATCATCGCGTATGAGTGACTTCCGTCCAGCCGCCGATGATGTTCGATCCCTTGCATCTAAGCAGGTACACTGATCTTTTTTGTTCGATTTCATGTGATGAATTGGTGATCTTTTTGATTTAGAAAAGCTAATGAACAATTTTTTTATAATATGAATCTTGTAATTTAAATATTTTCTAATCATTATTTTGCATTGTTGAAGACAGAATTTTCGGAAAAGCCAGAAAGTGTACGAATGGAAAGCAGCATTAGAATTGAACGTACCGATGCAGCTTCAGCATACGGTGATCTTCATTTTGTTGACGAAAGACGAGTTGCAATTATGGCTTATTCAATAGTAAACGATGAAACACACTGGAAAAAACGAAAACTTGATAAAGGAGGTTAGTATTTGTGGTTTTTCAGTGTTAACTGTTTCATATTTTGGTTTAAAGAGTTTCAATTTGTCGTGATTGATTAATCTTGCAAAAATAAAATTATGCATTTTACCATGTCTTTTCAGAAGTTATTGGAGCTGTAAAAGGGAAGATACCGATAAAACTGGATAAATTAGAGCGGAAAAAAGTATGTTACTTTGCACTTTTTCCAGATCATCCCAAATTGCCCAAATATTTTTCCGTATTTTTCGTTGAATGCATGTTAGATAAACTTCAAAGAGACTTGCAGTGTCAATCTCAGCCTCTTTACTGAGTCTTCGAAGTTACTTATAATCCAAGTAGTATCTTAGCGTAGCTTCCGATAATTTGATTGGTCATTTCTGGAAAATATTTGATACATTGAAGATGATGCTTTTATCAGTAGTTTACCAAATTGTTCAATCCAGATATACACTGGACATTTTTCTGAAGTTTCACATTACTTGGCTGAAGCAGGTAGACGATTCGGTTTAAATCAGATTTGTCTACTAGCAAATCCGTAGAACAGTTGGATTAGAATAGAATAATGAGCAAACTAGAGAAGATACATAGGGAGTGGCATAGACTGTTCGAGTAACTTTACTGATGATGTTGTTGATCCAAGAAATTTCTGTCCTGGAGCTGATTAATAAATTTATTTAAGAATTTATTTCTGGTTTTTATGTTTGGCAATTAGAGTGTTTTTTATTTTTGGATTTTGGTATTTAGAAGAATTAAATTTCAATCAAATACAAGGTTTTTAGGCCAAGAGAGAGGACGAAAAAGAAGCATTCGAAATTGGTGATTTCGATAATATGCCTCTTGCTGTGATTCGTGATCGGCAAAGACAAACGAAACGTCCGACTGTGCTTGTCAAGCGTGAAGATGAAGTTTTAAAGATTCACCGGACACGGATCGCTGCTGACCTTTTTTATAAACCGGAACAGTTTTGTCGATTGGCTCACGTTTTTTCGGTATGCTGTTTAAGTCAAAATTACTGTTTTTAAATTTGTTGTTGCCATTTTGTAGTATTGGCAAGTATTGAATATTTTGTTGTTTTAGGGCGAGTGGGAGAATGTGCGCTTTAATCGTGCTATGTCAGCACCAGTCGATGCTAAAGATGAACGCTTGTCACGAATGTTACGACAAAGCATTAGAGAGGATTTGGACCCTGAGGAGGCGTCAGTTTTAACTTCTTTCTGAAAAAATTCAAAGTTTCCAATGAACTGATGTGGAAGCTACAAATCGAAGGTTAAATTTCAGAATTAAAGAACACATGTCGTGTTTTAACAGTTATTTCGATGATGTATGTTCGGAACAGCGGTCAATGTCGGTACCTTGTGGTGGTGAAACATTTGATGGCCATAATGATAATGATGTATTTAGCGAAGTTACTACTCAAGATAATGATGATAACGACAGTGTGAGGAACATTTTATTTTATTATTATCCTTTCTATCTTATCATTACTATTATAGAAGTATGTTTTTATCATTGTCATAATCGAATCAAATATTTACACTATCACTGACAAAGACTTTATTTATTATTATGTTGCTGAAATTAGTAAATTAGGTGGTATAATTTATTCATTTTTTGTTCAAGAACATATTTAATGTTCAAAAGGACATATTTTGCTGATAAATGCACTACTTTGAGTGGCTGAATAGTCCATATAATAAATAGAATAACGAATGATTAGTAGTGAGTTGCAGTTTATTTATTTATTTATTTTTGTACATATATTAACGACTAAACTTTTTGCAGACATTGGTACCAACTTATGATGTACCAACGCTGAAAGCCACCCAAAGTTTCTATTCTGAAGTCGACTCTGGAGCAGAAGAAGCGGAGGCAAGTTACTTGATTTTGAAATAAATTTATGCAATTGTCATTTTGTGGTTGCCCTTCCTATTTGTTGTGTAGGAACTTTATCTTAACTAAATGATTGACAGTTACATCTCATAAAACGTGTCACTTTGTGGCCTACTAGATGGATTTCTTCGTATAAAGATACTTCTCTAAACTTGAGAATTGGTAGGTACTATTTGAAGATGAATGAGGAAAGGAAAGGAGGAAGTGATACAAATGATTGTTAATATAACATCTTTCTCTCATGTAAGTTGTCGTAATTCAGGTTTCTTTCCTGAACTGGGAATGGGTATGGGAGTTAGGGCTCTTTTTTCGCACAAAAATATGGCTTTATTTTTTTTAGATTTTTGGTGTGAAATATTCGGTGAGACAAAGACGCATCAATGCACCGGCTGTAAAGAGAGCTATTGGTACTATATTATCCAATGCGAAGGTAAGTTTTTATATACACTTCTGAACCATCCTTATTTTGTAGGCTGTTGAAAAAAATTGCTCGTTAAACATTTGGGAAATTTTTTATTTTTGTTCGCTTCAAACTGTAGAATACGATTATTTTTAAGCTTGATGCTGATGCTTTAAATGCTGAACTCTCCGTCGCACGGCAACAAGGATTTAGTTTTTTGGATGGTTTAAATGATCTGAGTATTGTAAGCGAAGATTCATTTGCTCTGAGTAGTCAAGGCGATCGCATCGAGCTCAGTAAAGAAGAAGAACGATTGCAGTTAAGGGAAGAGGAGGTGATTATTTTCTTTTTTTCTGATTGGCCTGATTAAGTCTTTGGCATTAATAAGGAATCTTAAGGTTTCTTATGAATTAAATCATGAGCTTCTTTCAAAGGATCTATACGTAATCATATTTAGTTTCTTTGTATGCCATAATGTCACGTTATCGGACAGTAACAGTGTTGTGTTGACTTTTAGGAAATTATAATTTATGTTTGAAATATATGTGTTGTTCTCTTTTCAGGAGATGAACGATGATCCAACATGTGAGCTGCGACATACAGAAATAACTGTAAAAGATTTTAGGTTGGCCGGTAGGCATACATTCTCATCGGTTTTGGCCCAACTTCCATCGTATTTGGCGGGGCGAACAGCTGATGATCTCAGTCCTATAAATGCATTCTCAGTGCTTTTGCATCTTTGTAACGAAAATGTTAGTAATTTTAATACTCGAATTCAAGCGAAGGTTATTTATTAATTTTTTATAAAATCAAAAATTGTGAAGGAAATTGATTTCTATTCAATTTCACATTGATGTAAATTCCCTGATTCTTTTTGTTCATCTTTTTCGAAATTGCCACTTTTTTTTCTCATCAGCTTCGTAAGGGTCATTTCTGGAACAACAGAAAGTTGCACTGATTTAAGATCATTCTTGTAAGTAATTTTATTTAGAATTATTAACATGATTTCCAGAATTTGGAGCTTCTGCAACGTAGGGATGGTCATGGTTTGATAATGCCAACAGAAATGGGTGATTTCACGATAATATCCGCTCGGCAAAACAGGGTGAATCGTAAACGTACTGCCTCTGAATGTCGATAATTTAATGACTGCTTCAATTTTGTAGTGTGTTTTATAATCAGTTATTAAAAACTCACTCCAAATCTCTTCGTTTTTTAGCTTTACTTTTACTCTATTTAAGTAAGTCATGAATGTTATGTATATAGTATGTTTTTTTTCTTTCAAATTGCAAAACTCAAAAGATCCTTATGCTTGAAGAGTAAATAATGAGAAGTGATATAATAGCTATTAATTTATTTCTCCATTAGTTAATTGATAATTTACGCTATTTAATCGAAACTTATGGGGATTCATATAAATAAACATTTATTTTTATTTTGCCATTACTATTTCTGTATGTAATGCTTGATTTAATCCTGTGTCGACAGATTATAGAATAATGTTATATTGATGCTTTGGATTTGGAAGATTCGAAATTTTTGAAGAAAAGATGAAGAGAAATAATATAATTGTTATAATAGTTGTGGAATGTTAAAATATCATATTTCTAATCACTGCTGCATTGTACCATCAGCTTTTCATTTATCCTTTCCGTTCATCGAAGACATAAATTATCGTTTGGGTATTATTTTTCTTAATACAAGTATTCATTTTTTGTCTTCTCTCTTCACAATATCTTTATCTCCCATATAATGTATTAAATTTACTGTTTTTTTTTTTTTACCGTGCTTAGGAAATTATTTGTTTTCTTTGATATATTTACTGTACTTACTGTGAAAAATAAAATTTCTGTATTATTATTCATGAACAAAGTAATGATTTTCTGTTTATCATTCATAAAATTGTTTCAACTCTATAGTAAAGCATAGGTTGATATTCGAATGAATAGCTGCAACAAATACAATGCCATGATAATATATACCAGAAACATCAATTTAAAAGGCTTGATTTCTCCTTTCATTTAGCGAATGTTTTACCTCATTTTTCCTTTTATTTAACTCGTATTTTTTTAATTAAATAAATGCTTTTATTCGGTAAATAAAATTACGTTTGTGCAATTCAATATGTTTTTCTATTTTGTACGGAAAATAATCCGAGAAAATTTGTTTATATTGGGTGAAATCTGCTACTTTCACCATGGACTGATGGTTTTTTTCTGTTAATTTTGAGTCGAATTAGTGTAAACAAATTCTAAATTATTCTAGACTATTAATTGATGATACGCTATATTTTTATAGGTAAAAGAAGATTATAGTATATTTTTACTTTTTTTTGCTTGCAAAAAAAACATATGATGCATTTACCTTCTTTACCTTGAAAAATTTATCAAATATGTAATTTAGAAAAATCTTTTTTAGAATTTAAAGTTTGAAGTTCATTGATTATTTCTAATTTTTCTTTCCATTCTTTTTATCATAGTGATCAATTAGTTACTAATTGAAAGTATTGCAAAGAAATTCGGAAAAAAAGTCTTACAAATTTTCTTTTCTGTTGTAAATACCTATCAAATATTATTCAAAAGAAATCAAAAGAAAAAAGGATCTTCATACTAATGTTCAGGGAATACCAATAAAAAAGATTCTATGATTGATCATTAGTCTAAAATATTGATTGATGGAGCTTTTAAACTCACTTCTAAATCATTAGTAATTATAAAATTTTCTTTTCAGTGATACTTCTTTAGATGTGTTACTAACAATAGTTATGCTAATAATTATGATAAATTAATGATTGGTATTGTTGATACAGCAGAGGTTATTTTTGTTCCATTTTTATTAATAAAATTCATCACAAATTATTTGAAACTTTCCAAGAATCAGAGCTAATAAAAATAGCAATTGAAAATAGAACCAAAAAAGATTATTTTCATAATTTTTTAAAAGTTATTCCGTTTCAAATACTATTATTTTGGATATGTACGCCTGCTTGTAACATCATTACTGTCTAAGATTTATTCCGGGTAAATGCTTTTACCTGCTAAAATGCTGCTATAAAACAAACGAGTTACTTTAATTTTTTATTTTTCTTAAAGGAGCGAATATCAGTGCAATAGAAATACTATTCTATTGGAAATTATTAATTTTTATAAGATATCTAAAACCGTTATCGTTAATCAGTAATTAATCAATAAATTAATTAAACAGTCCTTCAGACGATATTGAAATCTTTATTTCTGCTATAATTTTTATAAAACATTAGGTCAAAGAGCATTTTGAAAAAGTAAAAAGAAAGTATCAAATTTAATTTTTGAAATAGTAGAAAAAAAAGGAAGTAAAAATTTGTGTCGAAATACATTTTAACAATTGTAACTGTTATCATTTGTTAAAATTGTTAAAATGCCATTTCTTCAGCAAAAAATGGAACGAAAAAGGAATGGGAAATTTTTATAATTGTTCATGTAATTATTATTTTGATATATATGATAAGAAAAGAAAGTATTCTTTGCAGCTCATTTCATTTCTTCATGCAATAAGATGAATTGTGCAAATCAAAATCGTTTGGGACCGGTTGGAAGATTGACTAAAATACAATTTCGAAATGATTATGATGGATAACATTTCACAGAAAGTTTCTCCTTTCGATCATTTTTTCCTTTTTTTTCTTTTAATTTGGCGACAATTTCATAATGACATGGAAAAAATGAAAAAGAATGACAATATTCTCTTAATATTTTAATTTTAGTTACAATTTAAAATTCATTACACTCTTTTTTAAATCAAAATGATAGACATGCTTGATTAAAATATTTCTGCTCAAAAATTTCCAATCTTTATTGAATGATATCTTTCCTAGATCTTTTCTTCATCTTTTTTTGCTTTGTCTTATTTTGGATAATGTTTGCTATATGTAATCATTGTAGCTAGGCATACGGTAGTATACCGTATAGCTGGAATACGGTGGGATCGTATTACATTTCTTTGATTTTTATTTTTAAATTTCATTGTGAATATTACAAGAGGGTACTGTAAATTCCTTATGTTACTACTTCTAACTGCTTTCGGCTGCTGTGAAGTAGTATAGCGTACTCGGTCGTTATTTTTGACTAATTTATATCGAATACTGTGAGATGTATATTTTGCTACTATCTTTCAGCATGTTTTACCTGATGTATTTCATTCCTCTCATTTAATTATGTCATCAGTACATTACGGTATTCATTTATTTGTTACCCTTTTTATCTATTTTTTTCTTTTTAAATTGTTATCAAATCTGTAAAGACAGAAAAGGAAAAGATAATAATTATGCAAGTTGAATTTCAAATGAATATTCATTTAAACGTCACGTATTTCTCACATTTAAGTAATAGATTAACAATTGTAATAATTCTCGTCTTCTACTTTTTTTAAAACTTTTTATTAAGCCTACGAAGATACGAAATAAAAAACGGTAATTTTTTCAAAAATGAAATATATTTGAACGAAACCAAGCAAATTTTTGGTAATAATAACTTTATATTTATTTAAAAAAATAAGAAAAACAATTTTTTGTCTTGTTATTTATTCATTTAAAAAATTATTGCGGGAAAACATACGGTAGTATAACAATAATTAATGATATTTAAATGAAATTAACCAAATTTCTGATACAATTGGTTGTTAAAAATTGATTCAGCATTTTCTTTAAATCAATAGTAGTAACGTTATTAATTTTTTCCATTTTGTTAAACCTATCATATCATATGTCTATTGACAGCTTGTTGAAATAATGCCTTAACTCTCATTTCTGAATTGCTTTTCGATGATAGACAAAATTGCTTTTTGTTAGGCCTATAATGCCTAACATTTATTGATTGAAGCAATGCTTTAATATGTACTTAGATTAATTTTTCATGATGAAATATGGGCAAGTAAAGGAAAAGTGATAAATTTGCTAGACAAATCGGTTCATCAATTAATTCTAACATAGCAACGAATCAATCAAAAAACAACTTCATTTCTTATATTTCTTATCTTAAATTCTTTAATAGTATTTTAACTCTGATGAAGAACTATTGTAACTGAATGATCTGATATTGTATCTATGGATAACTGCAATACTGCATGACTAATAAAGTTATTATATCTATAGATGACAGTAGTAATATCGGTTAGCCCCGGTCATTAGAATACCATACTTATAAACGTAACGTAATATTACTTGGCCTTTATTATTAAAATACCATATCTATAGGTGTACTGTAATATTGATAATATTAATTAATAAAATCTGATAATCAGATGATTGCAATGACTGCGTCTTTTTTCCTTGTTTGTACAAATGATTCATATTTTTGAGTTCTATAAAACTTTACAGAAAAAAGAATAACAAAAAAATTTTGATGCAAAGAACTGATATTAGTTGGCACAATCTGAACAAACAACCTTTCCATTATTCATCATAAATTGATTTACATGGTGATGAATCATTTTGAAAATAAAAATTGTTTCGAATAAACATCGAATTCGGGTTTCCTTTTCATTTGTTAATTGCTTAAGTCATTTTCAAATATAAAACAGTAAGAATAGGCACGAAATTATACAATACATACACATATATACACACACACACATACACACACACATACACACATATACACACACACACGCACATACACACACATACACACACACATAGACATATACTCACATGCACACGAAAACACATACATAAGCATACGTTGGGATAACATTTGCAAAGCAAACAATGGATCGGATGTCTTTTATTTGCATTTTTTTAATTACGAAAATTTTCAGTATTATCCTTATTTTTATTTTAGTACTTTCGTAATTTCGAATGCTACAATTTTAAAATTTGTAATGTTGTTCTCGTTCAATTTTTTCCTTGATTCTATTGAATTAATTTTGGCAAAACAAAATTTTGACTATCTATGGTTTTGTTTTTCTTCTTGTTCAGTATTTTTAACAAATTGATTAATTAAAGTTTTATAATACAAATTTCTTTGATTTTTTTTTTTTTGTTCAATAAAAGTTAATTGTGAGCAAAAATTCAATACTTGCAACAACTTTTTGCATTTTTTCTCTTTCAAAATGATTGATTTTTCATCATAAAATGTTTAATTTGTTCATTATTTAATAATATAA